GTAATGCAAGAAGTACTGTAATGTTGACAGTGATTGATAAGGCATTAGGTGTTTGGTACTGTAGGCTGGTGGTTTGATGTCATCCAAGCAAATTGACTGACCCCAGATCATCCTGAATGATACGAGAAATGGGCTTGTCTGCTTTTCCACATTTGTACCATGGCTAGATCATGTTTTAAGGAGGTAGAATTAGTAATCATCACTTACCTTCATTATTCAAGAGCAAATTCAAATTAATTGTTCAAAGACTGTTGAACTGCTGGCCATTATAGCTGAAAGGGCTAATACTCAGAGTGAATTTACCTTTTCAGCATAAGAAAAACCACAGATTCACTGAGGTTGTTATACACCAAACTCTTAATGCCCACTGCAGTGACCATGAGCATGTATCAAGGTAATTTTGGGTGCTATAAATTTACTATGAATCTAAAACTGGCTGGATTCATCTGGGCTTGTCCAGTAGTCCCACTGAGCATTAACACAGTATTTTAATGGAATTAACGCTGTCTTAATGTTGCTATTTCCAGTAATCGGTTTCCCATTTTCATCTTGGTTTTATTCCTGTAAAGGTACTAATTTTTTTGAGTCTGGTCATAGGGTTTTCAACCAGATGTAGACAGAATTCCAGTTTTCCAGTATATTCAGTATGCTTCAGTATTGACATACAGAAGAATACCAACAGCTTAGTTGCTTACCTCACAATCTGCCTGATTTAACTTTTCAGTTAGGTGACCTTATAATTATTGGCTGACCTGATCAGATTCTGCCAAGCTAAAGAGCTAATAAAAATCATACTGTGATGTATTATTCCTGCAGGTAAGACACCTATAGCCTAGTTCATGTGACTATTGCTTCTAATAATATTTTTGATACACTCCCCCGAGTTAGCCAAAAGGCTTCCATTTCTAAGTTTGTTTGTATTCTACTTATTCAGGTATTTTTGTAAAACAAAACAAAAAATGCTTGTATAAAAAGAATGCCAGGGTGGTTGGTTTTTGCTTTGTTTTGTTTTTTCTTTAAATTAAAAGAGAAAGAGTTTCCCCATAATTAATAGCCATGAAAAATTGGTTAAAATTGTTACTTGTTATGTTATTTCAGTCTGCCTACATGACCGGTAATGAACTAATCATTGATGGAGGATGGAGCTTGTGATTGACCCTACTTGCAAATGGAAATTCATACCATGAAAAGCAAGAAGTGAGGATTGTGTTTCTCAGATAAGATAGCTGGCAAAGATTTAGATCACCCATATGATGTCCTTCAAAACAAATTTGGTACATTTTTACTGTTAGATGTTCTCTTTCTAGATTGGTTTTACTGATTCACTTTTCCCTAAATAGTGAAATACTGGAGTAAAACATAATTCATGTGGCTTCAATTTCTGGTAACTCCAAGAACATGAGAGAATAGCAATTTAACATGTAAGATTTCAGAAGGCAAAGAATACTATTAAAGGTACACAATCTGAATTGTGCTTTAAGCAAATCTGAGCAAAAAGTAATTGAATACTACCTTTATTATCATCCTGCAAAGTATCTGGAAACTAAACATTCACAATTAGATTTCCTACTAGCATTGACAGACTGTCCTGAGAAAATGGAACAACTAGTATTCAATCATCTAAACTGATCCTGAACTAAGAGTGGTTTAAATAGAAGAAGCAGAAATAATAGCAAGTTTGAAGATATGAACATTTGAATAATTTTGTTACTGTAAATGTTTCTGTATTCGAGAACACACTAATTGCAAATTTCACTTGAAAGCAGATTCTGCCTTGCAAATTACAAAGTAAGTTCTTTCTGCTCTGTACTACCATTTGCAAAATGGTTTAGAACTGTAATAGCTGTAGAAAAGCACTCTGAATTGTTGAAAAGAATATCCAATGCCTGACAACACTTACAGATCCAAAGTCGGCAATGCAAGACAGTCAAACACTGTAGATACTTGGTGTATGGGTGCATGAAACTTCCTGTGTATGCAGCAAAGGGTCAGTGTACATGCACAGCTGCTTTGTGCAACTGCCATGTCTATTTCCCAGATCCTGGGCAAGTTAGGTTTTTGAAATCTGGAAAAGCAGTAGCACAAAAAGCAGTACTGGCTTGTTGGATTGGCCCCTTTGTGAAGTTTGGGAGGGATTTTTGTTTAAGCACTTAACTACTTAATGAAGACCGTGCTGTTTTCTTGAAGTAGAAATGATGGAGAGGAGCCTGCTCTAAAGCTTAAGACTAAAGCTTGCAAAATGTAGATGGCATTAAAATTGTGTAGTTCTACAATCACATAGAGAGCACACTAACTAGTAAAGAAGAGGTCCTAGTGGGAGAAATGGCGATCAGAACTGTTTCATTAATGGTATAGATCACTCCTAAATTGGTCTTGGAAGCATCATTACTATATTTTGTTTGGTTTTATCCTTCCATGTACAAAAAGTACTATGCAAGGACATCACTCTAGTAGGCATGGATGTGGGGCTATATGTGCGAGAATTATACTTACATACACAGGTGGATCTCCATCAATATGCTTAGACTTCTGGCACACAAGCAAAAGGAGTGGATTTTACAACTCTAGATAGAGCAGATACGTTCCTCTTCAAAAAGATGTATTGATACTGGACAAACGTTAAATCCTTATGCTAGGTGCGAGGCTTTGTATTCTATTGCTTGATTGTCAAATATCAGTATAGTTCATGGTAAAACAAAAGGCTGTTTCTACAAGAATTTGTGTATGTTTTTATTGTGATAGCACATGGTAGCTTTGATTTATGAATCAGAAACCTATTAACAGAAAGTCTCATACTCTGGGGAAAAAAGCCATAAATCCTGACCCAGAGATCTAAGGCACTCAATAACCTGAATTCCAAAACTATTTGTTTTGCTAACATACTATTAAAATGAACATGAATGACATAGGCTGGCTGCCTGTCTAGAAATAAGGTTACCTTAATAGAAATCGCTTGCAGCCCCATTTATCTAGTTTGTGAATGAAGCTGGATGTAATTTCATATGTATTCATATATTTTAAATACATCCATATGTGGCAGAGGAATTAAAGAATAAATGTACTGAGTGTGATTAATCAGTAATCAGAAAGCAGTGGGGGAAACGTTCAGTATTTTGTGCCTGTCTCTGTAACAACTGCCATGTTTTTTAAATTATTTTTTAAGATTTTCAGTATTAACTGAAACATTAATAAAAATTATTTGATTTCAAAGATGATTGAGCATGTCTAGCTAAAATCGGACTTCTTATTTTAATATCATAGGTAAATGTAACTTTTACAAATGGGACAGTATTTTGGATGTTGGCTTCCTAAGGCTTATTTTTGGCTTAAATTTCACCCTTAATTGTGCTTGGAAGCATTCCAATTTTGTGTAGTTTGTTTAGGGGGGTTTTGAGTACCTGATATTTCAGAAAAAGACCCTGGCAGCCAAGCAGGATTGAGCTGAGGCAGAAATCCAAAGTTATCCAAAGTGGTTCCACTTATGTTCACTGACATAAATTCAAATGTTGTTACATTCAGGCTGGCAGGATACCATTTCAATGGTTTTGGGGTTTTATATGAAGGCCAAAGTCCCTCCTCTATAGTAGGTGTTTTCAGACTTACCTTGAAAAGAGAATCTTCCCACTGCAGTAACACAGGAAACTTGCATTGTGTATTCTGAAAATATAATTAAGAATCTTAAGAGAAAATTCATTATACTTGCTGCATGCTGAACTTAACATTTCTAAGTTCACTGGCGACTGTAACACACAGATGCTTCTCAGGAAATGCTGCTTTTGTCAAAGAATTCCTTCGATAAAAGGAGATGCCAATTGCTTTTTATGTTGCACTAAAAGCACAGGGATACGGATTTTCAGTGGTAGTGGAGAAGCTGGTGGACCAGGAAAAAAAAATGGGTGAAGATTGCTGTCATTTGCCTTACTAGGAAAGCTCTTCATGGATGTATTAACAGTTACAATGCTGAAATGCGTCCAGCAGACTTGCTGGAATTATTAAAGAAGGCTTCTTGATGCTCTTGTGACCTCTTAATTCCCTGGTCTGTTTTAATGCAAATGGATAATTATCTTTTTTTCCTTTCACTCCAATGATAATAGAGGATTTTTTTTTTTACTTTTCAGATTGTAGGTCTTTTGGGAAGGGTGAGGGGGGGAAGAGACTTCCCTGATTCAGAGTCCATTTTAACATTTTAACTGATCAAAACCCAGTGCTTCTTTCTCTCAGGGGGCTTCACTCTGTCTAATACTACCAGGAGCAAAATAGCAGCATGTTGCTTTTGAATCTCCTTTCATACAAACCACAGAATCATAGAATGTTTTGGGCTGGAAGGGACCTTAAAGCTCATCCAGTTCCAACCCCCTGCCATAGGCAGGGACACCTTCCACTAGATCAAGTTGCTCAAAGGCCCGTCCAGCCTGGTCTTGACCACTGCCAGGGATGGGGCAGCCACAGCTTCTCTGGGCAACCTGTGCCAGTGCCTCACCACCCTCATAATTAAGAACTTTTTGCTAGTATCTCATCTAAATCTACCCAGTGTAGCTTGCAAAATGAGGTTTCCAGAGTAGGTCTGTCTCATTCCCTCACATGCATGTATGGAAAAGGTGGACACACTGTATGCTTATTTAAGAAGGAGAAATACTTGAGCTTCTTGATGTTGGTTTGCTTTGTTTGTGTTTTTTTTAGTTTCCTGCCTTCCCCAGTGCAATTTTTTCTGCATGTACCCAGAGCAGAATCAGCTAGAGATCCTTACCCTTCCATTGCACCTCAGCTCCAGCTGCAGCATTGTGGTCTGAGTAACAGGACTGTGCGTGGCTTCTGCCACGGGAAAGGCAGCGTAGAACACAACCTTTTTAATGCGTGCAGCTTGCAGGGAAATTCCATGTGAAGCGGAGGCTATGCGAGACATGCAAATCTACTTCTTTCTCATCCGTTGTCCTCCGGGACGCTGTGGGCTCAGGAGACTCGGGTCACAGCGCCAAGTGGCACGAAGGCGCCAGACGGAGGCTTTGGCTGCGGCCTCATGAAGCCGCGGCGTTGGAGGAGGGCCTGTGGTTCCAGCAGCAGCAGGGAGGAGGAGCCGGAGCCGGCACAACGGTGCCGCTGGTCGCAGGGAGCGGGATACCGCCACATCACCCCGACGCTGCGGGACCAGAGCTGCACGGGGAGCGACCCCTTCCCTGGCATCCCGCCATTCCACAGGGAAGTCCTCTGCCCCTCTGCATCGCCATCGGCGCGGCTGGAGGCGGCAGGAGAGGTGAGGCGGGGAGGAGGGTGTATCAGGTGTTACCACTTACCTCCTATGGGCGATGGTATGTGGTTTGGGTTTCTCTTGTTTGGTCTTTTTTCTAATTATTATAAATGTTAGTTGCTCTGACGGTATTTGTGGTATTTTACTTGTATTCTTGTCTGTACTGTGTGTGTACAAAGCAGAAGAATGTTTGGGTTGTTCAGCCTGGTGAAAAGACAACTCCGGGGAGACATTATTGTGGCCTTTCAGTACTTAAAAGGGGCCTATAAAAGAGCTGGGGAGAGACTTTTTAGCCTCTCGTGATGAGGTGTAATGGTTTTAAACTAAGAGAAGACTGAGGGTGGACGTGAGGAAGAAATTCTTTATGACTGTGGTAAGACTGCCACAGGTTGCCCAGGGAGGTAGGTGGTGGATGCACAATCCCAGGAGACATTCAGGGGTCTGGATGTGGGTCTGGGCAACCTGATCTAGCTCATTGCAGGGGGATTGGACTGGGTGACCTTTGAAGGTCCCTTCCAACCCTGTTATATGACTCTATGACAAGTCACCAGGGCAATAGAGCTAATAATACAGCCATCTGCACGTGGCCCCTGACAGCTATTTCTTCAGCTCTCCCTCTCTTTCCTCCTCCCTACCCATTAAAAACAATAAAATTAAAATCTCTAATATAAACCTTTCTGGTTTCAAAATAAGGAAAGTATATTTTACAGGGAGGTACTAAAATAAGCCTCTTACTGGCTGGTTTCCATGGTACAGACCTTAATCTCGCGGTATGAATTCTGCTCCATGATTTCTCAATCACTGATTTTTGTCTGTATAGAGGTGAAAGTTTGAAAAACAAAACAAACCCATAAAAAACACAAAACAAACCACAACCAAATACCATGAACACCAAGCCCCACAACTACTGTGGTCTCATTAATCCAACTGGCTGTTACTTGAAAGTAGCAGTGTCAAGAACCTAAGAGGGTGAAGATGTGGTGCAAGACAGTCAAGGACAGCACATACACTGTCAGACCCCTCATTCACACCTTGATTCCTGTTAAGTGGAACATCCAATATTCTTGCTTAGTCAAATACACTACTCTGAGCTATGCATTTAGGACCCGACGCTGTTGAGGTGGACTTGGGTTTCTCAGAAGTATTGATGTTTTTTCTCTCAACAACTATGTGATCCCAAGAACTGGGATGTTGCCCATACACAACTGGATGGAGAGCGATACCCTTCTGTCCCTTACCCACCCACTCTTCAGAATGACAAAATTAAGTACATATACCCTGAGGAAATGGTAGGTGGAAAGAAGGAGGGAGGCACTGGTATCTTGCTCATACTTCCTGTTTCAGTTAGTATACTGGCATTCATGGATTCCCAGCCCCAATAAAAGGATTAACAATCCAGGAGGGGGGGGTGGGGGTGCGGATGGGATATATTTCTTTGTTAAAAGGACTTCAAGACCACAACTGGTTCCACAAGAAGTAACTGAAAATATAAAAAAGTACTGGAGTTGGAACAAATGAACATTTTACATTTAAAAAGGAAAGAAAACAGAACTGTTGCCTTAGAAGACATGGAAAGTGTTTGCCTATGGCTCTGTACTCTTCCTCTGTGCCTTGGCTGTACCTCAAGCTAATTTAATATCAGAACAGCTCAAACAGAACCACCCCGGTGTTACAATAGCCTCTCTTTGCTCATGGCACCAATTGTTCTCAAATATGAAGCATGTAATTATAAACTGAAGGCTTGATAATTGTGAGAATTGGCTCTCTGGCTTGCTCCCAACAATCTAGCAAGGAAGGGATTTCTTGACTCAAAAGTTCTGCTTAACTTGAGCAGTGTTTCTATGGCCAGAGCAATGTAAAAGACTTCCAAAAAATGCCATTAGCACTGAAATGTAGTTAGAGAATATATGCACACCTTTACTGTCTGTGACTTTTGCTTACCTGCACCTGTGAAACTACAGTAAACATTCACACAAAACCAATTCTGACACACAGACCAGTGCACCACCATATCTCTTGTTAGCATCTTTGGGACAAGAAATAGATCGGTTAGACTGAGTAAGTACAATGACAATTATCCACAAACAATTCGGACCTTATCTCTTACTGTTAGAAGTATCTCCATGGGACATAAGCAGTAAGAAAGAGCCATGTTTTATTAGCTTCATATGATTATACAGTGCAAGTTGTGCATAGTTATGATCTTCATTCAAAGAGGCATCTTCTCTTTAGATATGTAGTCAGCGTGTTTGTGAATAATCCCATCTAACAGAAGCATGTTCTTGAAAATTCCCCTGAAAATCAAGCTGGATCTGGTAAGGTTTATGTTACAGAAAGTGTCCACTTGTGTGTGTGCTTTAGAAACTACAGTTGTTGCTCTTAGCTTTATGAAATGGTTGCTTCCAGTGCCATGCACACAGAGACTTTGACACTTTCAGAACTAATGGTCATGGTATGTGGAGTTGACAGCAAATAACCTTTATGTTGCACTAACAGGAGGTACAAATATATATATATGTGTATATATATATACATAACAGCCATTCTTTTAAGGAGGAAATAACAGGTTAGTACAAGTCACTGTGATTCTACAACTCAGACTTTTTAATTCAACTTTTTTAGTGCTTCACTTTGTAACCTTAATACTGTTCTGTTAGTTCCTGTCTTGTTTTTGCATATAGCATACACAGACATGCAAAAAACATTAAAATTCCAAATACCTGATCTATGGGGAAGGAGAGGAAAATCACTGAGAAGCCTTCAATCTGGAGAACAGTATTACATGCTGCTCTCTAACTTTTCTATCTTTGTTGCTTTCCTTAGGTTTGCAACAATGGTAAAGGAGGATACTGTAAAAGACAATGAAGATTTTGAGCCATCAGTATGTGAGAGAAATGGCATGATTCCCTTGCATAAGCAAAGTGAGGTAATTAATTAGGGTCTCAAAGTACAATTTCAGTCAGAGGGAACCTTCGTTTTCCTTTGGTTTTTCTTTCTACACGCGTTAAAATCCCTACATTGGAAAGGAGCACAGAGAGAAACCTCCTCAGCAAGAATTTGTTACAATTAACAGATGTTCATGTTTTTTAAGTCTGTGGTATGTTCGATTGCTGGAAATCAGTGGTTGCAATTTCAGCTTTAAGTGGAAAATGCATCAGCTTATATTTTACAATCAGCTATTTAAGAGAATTTTGTGGACTTCAAATTGCTTCTTTGCTTTCAAATTGTGCCTGCCAGTCCACTTGCTGAAAGCTGTTCCTGCATGTCTTCCTTATCTAAGAAAAATAAACACCTCCTCCAGTTTTAAAGTTCTATATGCATAATTCTAGTGTTCTTGGAAACTTGTATGGCTTTAAAAAAGATTTGCTGTAAATGCAAGGAAGAATAAAGTTCTTAACTTAAAAGGCACTTTAGAGCAAACATATAGTATTGACTGTAAAGATAAGTACTGTATGGTGTGTCTTTATACACACTGGTAGCTGGCAATCACAGGGTAGATAAACAAGTAAATGCTGAAAGCTCACAAGATTTGTGTTCCAACTGTGACTCTGAGTAAGTGATATATATATATATCTAGAGACAAAGAGGCAAGACAGAAAAAATTAATTGGAAATGTGGAACTGTTACTGGAGGAGGGCCAAACCACAGTATAGGCAAGAATTTCATGTCCGTGCTATGACAGTGAGATGACATGAAGGTGAATAATCATAGGAGAAGGCAGATGATTAACTTGTCAAAAATAAGGACCCTAAAAATGAAGTGAGACACATATCCAAAAATGGTCAAAAAGCACTTTGGCTATGAAGATGGATAAGTAGATGACTCACTATAAAAGAACAGCTTCAAGGAAACATTCTTCAAGGAAATAACTCCTAGGGTAGTATTTCTCCATCTCTACCTTGACTTACTAGTTTGACACTTCCAGCAATGGATCATGTAAGTAATGCTTGCACTGGACAGCTGTTCTGTTTCGTTCATCTCTAATCATAAGTAGTTTTGTTATTTTGGTTCAAGGCTTTGCAACAGAAATTATTTAGGGGTTATATTAAAGACACTGTCTTGCTGGAATGATGCTTATCATTAACTATACTGTGAAATCTAGACTGGAAGTGGAACCTTATCAAATTGGTTAAAATATTAACAAATATTTAGCTTGTATACAAGACAACCTGAACTTGGCTTGTTAATATCGTTTCTTCATCAAATATGAACAGCTGCTATTTGTACTGGGACAGGAGTCCTGTCAGTTGCAGATAAAAAGGCAAGTGTCCCAGAGTATTTCACATGCAGTTCTTTTTGCCATGCAAAAACAAACACATCACCAAAAATCAGAAAAATACTACAAAGTTGGACCGTTCCTATGGCAATAGTTAAAAGTCTGTGGTATATTGGATTGCTGGAAATTAGTGGCTGCAATTTCAGCTTGAAGTGGAACTAATTAACTAATGTAGTAATCTGTAGACCGTGTGGAATTCATGCATCATAGCTGATTTCAGGTCTTGTACACTGCTTCAGGTATATCCAGTGCTGTTTCTGAGGGAGTCTCATTCTTTTCTTTCAGGAGGGACCAGCAGTAGATGCCAGAGGTACTGGTGGGAATATACAAACAGAAGAAACTGCTCTCTTGAATCACTGTGCTCAGCAACCTCTGGAACCAAAGTCAGGGTCTTCAATACCTCCAAGAACATGGAGCCAAATATTTACATGTCCTCCTCAAGGTTTACTGTCCCAAACAGTGACAAATGGTATGTACCAGAGTCTAGTTAAAACAAAAAATGGCAAATGAAAATACTCATTTCTCTGGATGTGATAATATTTGTCCATTGTCCTTGAAAATAATAAAGGGAAATAGCTATGGTTTACATATTTTACTTTTGTTTCAATGTTTTAGCAGGAAAAAAAAAAAACAAATCAGGTGAAACAAAGGTTTGAATGTATATTTTTTGTTCCTCCATCCTCTCTTGTGTGTTTAGCATGACAGGTCTGTTTTTGCATTGCAAATTGTTTTAATCAGAAGAAAGACCTCCCAATTCTGATCTTGATAGTATGTTTTGGTGTGGGAGCATTGGGATGATTATAAACACAGTAGGATTTTTGTCACACTAGATGGCTTTTTGTTGAATTAAGGCAACAAATATGAGTCTTGCCAGAGATAACCTCTTTTGTTTCTTAATACTGTAGGTGTGTAAAGCCAAGAATCCTCCTAACTACATGGAAAACTAACCCATTCTGTTTAAGATGTGCCCTACACTGAAGGCTCACAGAATGCCTGGATAACCAGTTATTTAAGACTTTTCCTAACAAAAGACACTTCCTTCTTACTGCAATTTTGAAGTAGCCAAAGACATGCAAAGGCAAGATAAGTTAGTGAAAGTCTTTGCTTTAAGTTCAGGACCTGTTAAGTGCTTTCCACAGTGGCCCCAATGCTCACTCAGTACTTTCTGGTCCCTAATGATGTTCCTGGTACCATTTTTTTAAGTATCTTAGCATCTATAAAATCAGAACATCAGTTTAGGGAGCATCAAAGATGAATTAATCATATTGTTATGATTAAGCTAATTTTTAAGGTAAGTGATTTTATTTTTGAAAGTCAGGGTACTGTTTTCATTAGTAGAAAAACAAAAGTGGTCTAATAGCAAACAAAGTCGTCCCCGAGAAATGACTAAATAAGAACATTTACTGTTCTGTTCCAGTTGCAGTTGTGGTCCTGGTTTGGGCTGTGGTTTGGTCCATCACTGGGGCTGAGTGCCTCCCAGGTGGAAATCTGTTTGGAATTTTGTTTCTTTATTTTTTTGCTGTCATCGGAGGGAAAATTTTTGGATTCATCAAAATACGAACTCTACCCCCTCTCCCTGCTCTTCTGGGTAAGATATCCTTCCTTCATTTCTTCCTACCAATTTGAGTGGTTTGAACTGTCAAGTAGCACCTGCATGCTAGGTATGTTTGGATTGGGAATAAACAAACTGTGTCACACTCAAAATCTGTAGATTTTCCAAGTGACTTTTATCTGGTCTTCTCTGAGAAGGTGCAAAATTCCCCAACCTGTCTCAGGTTAAACTGCTGTATGTTACTAAGGCTCTCTTTTTAATTCTTTGGGGACCAGAGAACTGTATACCTACAGATTCTAAGATTATTTTCCTTCAGTCCCCTCTGTCACAGTTACTTAAAATTTGGGTTTAATGTTACCAAAACATTAGACTTAATTATTAGAATAATTAATTCATAAGGAAATTATTGCTGAGCAATTTTGCATGCATCTTGCACAATGAAAGTGTTTTCCAAAGAAAACACTACAAGAATTCCCTACTACTGGTAGTCCAAAGCAATTCCTTTCTCCTTCCTTTATCTCAAAATAACTGAAACCTGAGAAAATAAAACTGACCACAAGGAGTAATTCTTTTGAAGAGAGTTATTTTGAATCAATCATAACATTTTTTTCATATACACATTTTACATAAAAGTGCAAAATGGAAAATGATGTTAATTCTGTCATCATCAGAACCTTTTCAGACTCCCTTCCTAAAGGAGGTTTTGGTTAGATCAGTACAACATTGTGAAGTGCTGCGATGTTAATGAAGCTGAAAAATGAAGCTCCAGGTTTTTCTCACCAGTTGTATACCACCCTCTTACCATGCTTAGTGGATAAACGAGTAAAGCTGTTGACAGACAGTAAAATTTCATGGCACAGTAGACTACAAATACCTGCCTGCAGTGCACAGGTGAGATTTTATAACCTGCATAGCTGGTGTTGTGCTTCACACAGTAGCATTGCTTACAGAAGGGCTTGATAGCATCATATATAGCTCTGTCCAGGTAGCATGTGTGTTCTTGCACTGCTTAGTTTCATAACTGAGAATAAATTCAAATGAGAGGGAGGGAAGTTTTGCACGTTGCGTATCTGCCTGCAATGACATGAATACAGAACGTAACACACAGGGATTCTGCCCTTTCTTGGTAAACAAAGAGAAAAAAAGGTAAAACAAAAAAAAATTCTGACCATTTGTATTCTGCTTTTTCCTTTTTTAAATTAAATCTGCATCTAAAAATTATGAGTTAGCATGAAACTGCTTGTCAGACAGGTAACCCTGAGCAACAGAAACTTAAACACGACAGCACATGTCTGTTGAGTTGCTTAGGACAGAGTTCATCATTCAGATCCCCAGTCTTTGAGGAAAAATGAAGAAATCTGTAAGTCAGAGGAAAAGATGGACAATGTCTTTGAATACTCTCTTTCACACTGGTAATACAATTCTTGTACTCTTACGTGCCTTTAATCCACATCTGGTAGGTGCAGCTGAGTGTCATGTGGATGGCTGAGCATTTCAGCACATTATACTGAGCCTCTGTTTCAGGAAGAAATGGAGTGAAATTGCTACTGAAACAGTCACCTAGTATATTTTAGATACACATTGCAGAGACATTTCTGTAGCAGGCAACATGGAGCAGAACAGTGAAGATATCCATTGAGGTGGTGGTTTTTTGATTTGTTGGGTAGATTTCTAGATCAGGGTAGCTCCAGTGATTTGGACCTCATGCAGACATTGCAAAGAGCATGTGGTCATTATGCTAGCCTGATATAACTGTCATGAGGCACATTACTTATGCCATTTTTTTTTTCCTGGGAGGTGGTAGAAAGAACAATGTCCAAAAATTTAGTATGTTCCAGGACAAATCAAGTCCACAGCCAAGGCTCGCACCAAGCTGGGACCAACCTGAGCAGTGTTTACTTTTCATCTTTTTTTGTTTCCTGTTTCTTTATATGGCTAATACAAATTTATGACACAAAAATGTATGTTTGAATCATCAGGACCTGCAAGAATCTCTGCAGATCTACATTTCGAGTCAAACTTCCCTGTACTTTTCCATATCCTTCCAGAACCAGAGTTCCAGTAGCTTTGCAGGAAGTCTCTGATTAGGTAGTTTTGCTAATATTTGCAAAAAGTTGGATCTTGCAAGTAGCTGAAGTAGAAGATAAGACCAAGTTCCTGATTTTCCACCCCCCCGCCTTTCATAAAAGTCATATTGCCAGAGACTTTTAAAATGTCTGTTAGCTGTTTTAGATTGTATTTCCCAATGAACTCAGCATTATCGTTCCTCTGATACCTGCATTTCTTACATCTAAGAGGATTTTAATGACTTCCAACTTCTGAGGTAAATACACAGTATTAGACAATCTTCCTCTTTTCATGTTAAAATAAGCTAAGAAGAAAAATATCTTTAAGGATGCAGAGGAGTCTTTGCTTATGGCAAGAATGACCTGTACCTGGTGAACAAAGCTGAATTCTGGTGACTCGCACTAAAGCTACGTGTCAGAATCCTGCGGATTTATTAATTGGTGATCTGGTGTGTTCTTAGGCCACTTTCATTGCTTTAAACGTGTCTCTCTCTTTCCATGCTTTAGTCCCCATTGTTAAAACATGGTTAATAATTCAGAACATTGTTTCTTCATCTCTCATCAATACATAATATGGTGTCTATTTTTAGAATGCCATGCAAGCTTTCCTTGTGCAATAAAAACAAATAATTTGACAGGCACTTACTTGCTTTCATTTAAGGGATGCTACTTTCTGGTTTCCTGATCCGAAATATATGGTTCATTAGTGACATCGTCCAGATAAATCTGCGCTGGTCAGCAGCACTGAGGAATATTGCTCTTTCAATTATCTTGACCCGAGCAGGACTCGGCCTAGATCCAAAGGTATGGCAACAGCTGTCAAGGTACGGCAACAGCTGCTTCTGTGAAGCAATGTATACAACAGCCCTCAAAAAAAAAAAAAAATTGAATAATTGGTTTTGTTAAAAATATTGAACTGTTAAGTCTTAAAGGATCTGCAAATTAGATTATAGAATCATAGCATGGTTTGGGTTGGAAGGAACTTTAAAGCTCATCCAATTCCAACCACCTGCCATGGGTAGGGACACCTTCCACTAGACCAGTTGCTCAAAGCCCCATCCAGCCTTGCCTGGGACACTGCCAGGGATGATGGAACCACAGCTTCTCTGGGAAACCTGTTACAGTGTCTCAGCTCACACTAAATTACAGAAAGCATAGTTTTTATCATACAGTTATATGTGTGTTAATATTGGTAGTTGGGTTTGTAAAGCAGGCAAGCAATCAAAAAAATACCTGAAGAAAACTGATTTTATGACCACTTTCCCCTTGCCTTAAACAAATTTCCTAAATTTTGTGACCAGACCATCTCGAGGACATGTACCCTCTGGTTTGTTGGGAAGAGTTTACACTGCCTGCCAAACTCCCTGTCAGTTTATACTGACAAACTAATGCAAGTAATGGAAGGGATCCCCAATCCTTGAAAAAGAATGTTGCTTTTGTTTTGTTGTTGGCACAAATAAAAAAAACGCAGCCAACTAAACCATCCAATCTTGTGTGTCTATTTTTACTTCTTTATTTCTTTGGGTTTTTGTGGTGTTTTTTTTTTAGTCATTGCCATTTAAATGCAAATATATTACTGGCAAACCTGAGTCCTGCTGCACTACAGAAATAATGCTTCACATCACAATTAGGTTTTTTTTGCTCACAATGAAGTCCATAATGCTCCTGTGAACAAAAACATAGTCTTCCTCTGCACACCATGAAACTTGACATCCCATAAATTAATGAAGGTGAGGTTTTGCTTAATCAAAATCAGCTGGCTGAAATAAAGCTGTACCGTATTGGTCCCTACCCATTTAAGTTAAAGGGACCATTTAAAGTTCATAGAAAACTTAGGTTAAGTATAGCTACTTCAGAACAACTAAAATGATTTTACTTAACCAAGGAAGACTTGGGAGTTGCCAATGCTTCAGATATTTAGGAAAATAGGGTGTTGTCATTCTTGAAGAATACCTGGCTTCCTAGGTTAAACTGTCTCTTTTCCTAAGACATTGAAGCTTGTATGAGCATCTTGTTACACACAGCTTGGATGCCCAGTTCTGGGAGATGCCTTTTCTTTATATTCCATGACAACTTTTTTTTTTTTGTTTGCCGAGGGAGCTTTGTTTTTGACTCATTTTTCTCCCATGTGGCAATCGAAGCTCTGGAGCAATGCTTTGATGCAGTTACAATTGCTCCTGGTGTAAAACTGACGCTGTGAAGACAAAGATGTCGGTTGCTCTGGTAACTGTCAGCCCTAATTATGCTGGTAAAAAGTGTAACTCACTGAATTTCCCCCCATCACCCCGTATGTCAAAATTAGGGACCTGTCCTAGCAGAGTCATGTTTGTAACTAACTTTTAAATGCAGCTGTTACATGTAAATACTCTGGTTTAGAGAAAATTTTTAATAGAAGTTGCTGAGCCAAATGGACAGCTGGAAGAAATGCTTGGCTCCTTGTGCCAAGTGTATGTTGTTCTACAACTTTTCATGACTTACTGATGTGGGATTTTTTTTTTGGGGGGGGATGCTTGTGCAACTTGTGGGATTACAGCAAATTCTGCTGTGGGTGGAGCAAACGGCCTCAAGTAACTGTGGGTAAGTCAGCTATGTTGAGGGTGCACTTTTCAAATGGATCCCTGTCCAGCCTCTCACATTTACCTTGCTCTGCACAAGAAGCCAAACAGAATTTTCTGCCCCTCCTTCCTGTGACATGCAGGAACCTTGATGGGCCTAGATTCAGTGGGTTTCAATGCCACACTTGGAATTTTGTATCCAAATCCAGTTGCACTTGAGCCTGTCTCAGGCTTAGGCCATGTAAATCTGTCACATCCTGTACTGCAGCTCAGAGAGGATTCTTTTCATGAACCTTGTCAGACTGTACATTAATTTCCTCTCTCTAAAGACAAGAAACGGTACTGAGACTAATGTCTGAAAGTGTTTGTATATTGCAGGCTCTTAAGAAGCTCAAAGCAGTCTGTTTACGGCTTTCCTTTGGACCATGCATCTCAGAAACATGCACAGCTGCTGGTTTTGCCTACTTGCTCATGCATTTGCCATGGCAGTGGGGATTTATTTTAGGGTAATGTACTCTCTTTTCTCCTGTATGACAAATGTGTCTGTTTTCATGCTACAGTTAAATGATCCAAGTGCAGTTAGTTCTCTGCACCGAAAGGAGACCTCGGTTTAATGCCAGTTAGTTAGGAACCTGTGGTTAGCCCCCATGGTTGTTTGCGTACCATTCATGTCTAGCTCTGTGGCTAATTTAAAGGTCACATTTCCAGGCTGTGGATGAGTACTTGCATCATTAATCTTCTGTGTTTGTGATCTGAGCACCTGAAGAAGGCTGGTGTGACCATTGAGTCTTCAACCACAACACAGAGGGCTTCCAGGGACAGAAAATGATACCACAATTTGGAGAATTTGCATGCTGGAATTCAGAATTTCCTTGTAGAGAAGTGCATGTAGGATAGTCTTCCTGTCACAATTCAAGGATAAGGATATGGCATGTTATATTCTGGAGTAATATCCTTAAAGAGGAAACGTTTTCCATCTATTTCTATCTAAACTGGTAGAATAGGTCCAGATGCATATATGGGAGCAAGATGGATGAACTCCTCCTACGCCACACACTCATTTTTATGAGAAGGAACTGGGCTACTGACTCATAAGCATGTCTAGACTAGATTCCTAAATGGGACAATTAAAACATATATCAGGAAGCATAATTGGCCTGCAGTGTAGACTCAAGTCTTAGAGCCCTTTATTTTTAATACTATTGAGCTGGGCAGGGAGAAAGAGCCTATTGCAAATGTGTGTAGAAATACCCCTGCTTGTAAGGAAAATACCTTATGCAAAGATTTGTTTATTTATGCTTTAAAAGAACTGGGGTCAGAACATTCTGAGGTTTTTCAGTTCAGTGCTTTCTTTTTAAGAGAGGCTGAACCTGTGTGTTTTCAGTTTTGTTCTAGGTGCAGTCTCCCCTGCTGTGGTGGTTCCCTCAATGCTGATTTTACAAGCTGGGGGATATGGGGTGGAGAAAGGTGTCCCAACTTTGCTAATGGCAGCTGGCAGCATTGATGACATTCTGGCTATCACAGGCTTCAACACTTGCCTTGGAATAGCTTTCTCTTCTGGTATGCTGGTTAATCTGTGTGTGGTGAAATCCAGAACAAACAGTGATGTTTTGAAGAACATGTGCTCTGTTATAACTGACTGGTTTGTAATTTAGTCACATCTTCTTATAAAGTTCACGTATGGACTTGAATATTGAGAGGGAAATTACTCATGATCGAAGGTCTTGATGTAACATTGCTCTGAGTTGTGGGTCACAACAATTTTCAGAGAACATTTTTCCCTCTCTGCTCCCTTAGCTGCCAAGTCTTGCCCTGCATTCCCAACATAATGCTTTCACATATCCCTGGGTTTGGCAGTGTTCTTGGAGTGGCTTTTTCTCTGTCTTTCTTCGCGCGAACTTCCAGAGAGAGAAAGATGCACTATCCAGTTCTTTCAGGTCCATACGTTCCATCCTGAACCCCTTTGCCCCAAGTAATTTAAAGCAGACACTGCCCTGGAATAACCCTTGTAGGTGTACAGTGTGGTTTGTGCATGAAAAGTCTATGTATAGCTTACTGAAACAATTTTTCTTTTGCCAAATAGGTTCTACTCTGTACAATGTTCTCCGTGGGGTACTGGAGGTTGCTGTTGGCATAGCAGCTGGGGGGATTCTGGGAATGTTTGTTCGATACTTCCCAAGCCACGATCAGGTAAAAACCCAGTAAAAAACTCTTAATGAAATAGAGACTCTTTGATAAGGGATAATGTTCTTAACTTAGTAATTTCCATGCTTCACATGAAGCTGGTTTTGGGGAAAGCGGTGTACAGAGCTAACAGTTTTCAGGTTGCAAAGCCTATCAATCGAGGATGTGTGTTACAGGTAACTGTTTACTGCACCAGTAACAATGTATGATCTCACAGTCCTTCCCAATGGAGAATTTGGAACTGAGCTCACCACCCTGCTCTCATTGAAGGTGGTGGAATTGTCCACACATAAAGGAGAAAGGGTCTGATACCCATTTCAGACAGTAAAATAATCATCAATTAGATTGATGTGTAACACATTTACTTTTGTAAGTGTAGGCCTCTTTCCAGTAGGGCTAAGATTAAAAATTGAGTAAAGCAGACAGATTGTAGGTGTTAAGTGATGGGGCATACAAGTAGTGCTAATTACAATGTGTTACTTTCAATGAAAATCAAGCCTGTCTAAAATGATAGATGAATTTACTATCAAGGGGCAATTAAGCAAATAGAAAATTGTGGAAGAAAGTAGATATGTTCTGGACTACCTAATCTCAATTTGCAAAGCATCTGTGGCCCTCAGTGGGACCAGAATTTCTTCTTATCAAATACCATAAGAAGATAAAGGAACTAAACAGATAAATAGAAATGGGCAACATTGGAAGAGATATGTCTCCTGCAAGACTGGATCAAGACCCGTCTGGTGTCAAGGATTTCACCCCTCCTTGGATAAATCATTCTAGTACTTGAATACACAGGTAGAAAAACCTGTTATCACAGAGTTGAAGCAGGGCTGTTAGAATAGAGAATCATATTCCTTGTGATACAAAAAGCTTACTGGCAGTGAGACTTCAGATGGGCAGAGGACAGAAAATATTACATTTAAGAATTTTAAGATTTCTTAGGAATTAATGTCAAAAAAAAACCAAACCCTCTCAATACAGCAGTTTACATCTTACTTGAAAACTTTGATTCTTTCACAGTGGTTAATGACAATTTCTATTTTCAAATTGTTCCCTTCAAAATCATCAGCAGACACCTTTTTCCTCCATTTCTAAAAGAAAATCACTTTTTCTGTTTGTCTCTTTCCTTGGCTGCAGGTGTCTCTGGCATGGAAGAGATCGTATTTTGTACTTGGGCTGTCCATGTTTGCTGTTTTTGGCAGCATCTACTTTGGCTTCCCTGGATCAGGAGGGCTCTGCACATTAGTCTTAGCTTTTGTTGCAGGTGTTGGATGGTCTGAGGAAAAGGTAAATGTTTTCATAAAGAAGCGTACCATAGCAAAACGCTTTTGTGTGTACAGCCTGACAGGAGTTTGAATTCTGTCAGGGGTGATAACGATGCATTTATGAAGCCTTAGGAGGGGTGTGGATTAAAGAAAAAAGCATTCTACATTTATTTTGTAAGTCTTTAACATTTAGCATGACAGAAAGTTATGTGAATATATATCAATACAGAGCCTAATATACTGGCAGAGAAATGCTCACACACTTGTCTTAGACATCTTAAACCGTTTAAAGGAGATTTATTGTCAAGGCACTTGACTAGGAATCCAAAGCTTTATGTCGCAGCTCTGAGAGTCTGTAACATTACACTGTCATGTTACAGTCAGATTTACAAACAGGTTTCCAAAATACAGTTGTATGCATGGCCTGAATACCCTGAGGTTTTTTTATGCATGGTTTTGGGGTGTTGAAATGGAAAACAGTAATTAAGTGTCTTCTCTCCTCTTTCCCAAATTTCAGCCAGTGTATTCCAGAGAAAAGAGAGCAGGATAGGGTGATATAAGGCCATATAAAAAAAATACAAAAGACTGCTTTTTAGTTACTTTTTCTTAGCTACTACGCCTGCTTCCTCTTACTTTTGCTGCCACACTGCATTTCTTTACCTCTCACTGTATGTCTCACTGTCTCTTTTGTTTGATGTCATCTACACTAAATGTTTTGAGGGCATCTTTCTACAGCTGTAGCCTTGAGACATGCAGTAGGAGAAGGGGGGAAGAAAAGGGACCAGATATAGCAGAGCCCATGTTCTTATCCCCATCTAGACCCTGAGTTCAGTAAGATCTCAAGGTTTGTTAAAAGAATGAAAAAGAAGCCATGGTTTCTATTTGGAAGTATTACCTTGTTGTCCAAGTTTAAAAGAAGAAAAACTCATCTTGGGACTTAACTACTTAAGGACATTAGAACTGATAAAGCTCTCTGTTCAGAAAGGACTTTCTGCAGTCTATAAATGCTTAATTTAAATTATTTTGATCAGTGAATGAAGCTTTCTGGCCTTAAGGATGTTCTTTTCAAATGCCTTAGCTTTTTTCTATCAGGTACAGTGAAAGATTCCAAGGTTTTCCTGCTGAGCTTCTCATCACCTCCTACTTCATCCTAGATCCTCCTCCTTCCACCATCCATGGTGGAAGTCACTTGACAAATACTGTCCGTGGAGAACAAGGAACTTAGTACCTATTGGTGGAACAGTTAAGCAGACAGTAAAAAGATTGAAAGGATGCCAATATCTGTAAAGAGGTTTTGAGGTTTTCTGTTTTTAAAAAAGGGTGAGATGACAAGGTGAAATGAGGCAAATAAAGAAAACTGTTCAGCAGTCTGTACATTTCCCCCTTGTTCTCTCTAAGGTTACCGAAGTTTCTGTGTTACAGTTTTCTACCATTCTGTTGACTGAAGAACAGGAAGATTCCTGTTTATCCTGGCAGCAGTTTTAGGAAAATTGTTACATGTAAAATTCAAATGCAAGGGAGAAAAGACAGCATTGCCCTTATACAGTACCTCACACTGGAAAGTTCAACTTTTTACTGGTATGGGATTTCAGACTTGCTCAGTCTAATTTTGCTCCTGCTCACATGGAAACAGGCCTCTGAGCGCAGCACAGAGTTAGGTCTTCATTGAAATTTAGAGGGTCTGACTGTGCTCAGATACAAATGGAAGAACACATTTAAGCATGCAGTTCCCAAAGGCTCAGAAACTTCACGGCAAAGCTGTTCAAATTACAATGTCTCCCTAAATACTGAAACCATCTGTGCTTTTATTTTCTTCCTCTTGTCTGTAAACTGCTCTGTCACTCTTCAAATATCGGTGACTTTTATTTCTCTTCTTGAGATAATAAGCATTTATTTACTGGCAGAACTACACACTCTGACCTTCAAAAGGTATGCAACAGATTTTGAATCTTTTAGCTCAAAGAAGAAGCAATTCTGGACAATCTTTATGATACATTTTCACTTCGATTAATTAAATCTTGTGTCTACTTGGCCATATTTTTGTGAATTTATGTATTATTTTTGTTTTCATTACAGAAAGAAGTAGAAAAAATTGTTGCTGTTGCATGGAATATCTTTCAACCTTTTCTTTTTGGTTTAATTGGTGCAGAAGTATCTGTTACATCTCTTAGGCCTGAAACTGTTGGTAAGATCATCCAATAATTATCCAGCTTTCATTACTGGCTTCCAAAGAATATCTATAAGGAAATCTAAAGCCAAGCAGATCATGGCTGACCCCCCCCCCAAAAAAAAAAAACCAAAAAAAAAAAACCCCAAAAACCAAAAAAAGAAAGTCAACCCCACTTTAAAGCTATGGTTTTAGGAGCCTTATTCCTCTCAGACACCTATGCACGAAAGTACTAAGAAGTGTTTGTCTTTGTTGCAGGACTCTGTGTTGCTACATTGGGCATTGCCCTCGTCGTGCGAATCATAGCAACGTTCCTGATGGTGTGTTTTGCTGGGTTTAATTTCAAGGAGAAAATATTTATCTCATTGGCATGGATCCCCAAGGCCACTGTCCAGGTAAGCAGCTCAATATCACTTTCATTCCAGGCTAAATCTGTTGTCCTTAGCAAAGCTCCTCGTAACTACCATAGTAGTCAGTAGGGAGAGGATCAGGCTCAATAAAAGCAGAGTGTAGATATGGACAGTTCATATTCTAAACCACTGTAAGTCTGCTTGAAAACTGCATGGACAGCCTTTTATGTGAAAGTTTTTTGCTTGCATCCTGGGTTGTACTCTTAATAAATGACAGCAAATTCTACATATAGGAAATTTAACTATTTCTCAGCTATTGCACATTACTGTGCCTTTACATACAGGTTCTAAGAACTTTCAAAACAAAAGTGCTTCCCTCTAATACATGAAATGTCTGCAGGAACAGTCACATCAAGAGGCTTAGAACGGGTTTTCAGTTTGTGGTAAGGGGTAGTCTGACAGCCATATGGATACAGAAGCCTCAGGCTGGCTGCATTCTTTATTTCAGTGACTGTTATTTATTTAGGTGTCACCTAAATAGCATGATTAACTGCAGACAAAAGTTAATATTCCAAACTGGCAAGGATTATTGCAAGATTTGCAAACTGTACTTTCAGAAGCTGCTGCTAGTTGACTGTTGTCAGGATGCATTCTGTGGTAGTTTAACAGCTGCAACGCAGAATACACTGGCTCATTTCATTTATCACAAATCCTCCAGAAATGCAGGTAAGAGGACAGCTACACAATGTTCTTCATGAGAGGGAACCACCCAGATAAACTCATTAGCATAGAAAATTGAAAGTGTATCCAAGCAAAAATTGTTCTCATAGGTATAACATTTACTTTTTATTTACTGTCTAGAAATCAATCGACTCAATGTACTACAAATGTCAAATTTATGCTAAATATTGACAGATGAGTAGTCTCCTTTTTTACCTCTTTCAGTGCTAAAGGCTACTTGCTCCATTTCATCATTTTTTTCTTTCCTGCAGGCTGCAATAGGCTCTCTTGCCTTGGATACAGCAAGAAGTCATCAGGATGAGCAACTGGAAAAGTATGGAATGGATGTACTGACAGTAGCTTTCTTGGCTATCTTAATCACTGCTCCAATTGGAGCTCTGGTTATTGGTTTGGCAGGGCCCAGACTTTTGCAGAAGGCTCAGACAAATAGCAAGGAGGATGAGGAAGGTGCTGTGGCTGGAGAAGAAGCAGAGGCCTGTGAGCCTTCGTAAGATGGACATCTACAGGAATATGGCCCTTCAGCCCTTATGCTTCTGTTGAGTAAACACAGGATGTCTGTAACCTTTCTGGAGGAAACCAAACCAAGTATCAGTTATGTCTGATATTTTGAAAGCATCCCTGGCAGATTTTTATGAAATATTCTTATGTGTTGATAGTGCCTTAAGAGATAAAATAGCTGAACATGCAGTGAATGGGCTGGCCAGGCAGTGAGTCACTGAGAAGTGAGCAGTCAACAGTTACTTGAAATATGTGGGTGTGAGGTCAGGGAGAGGATCAGAATTGTTCAGGCACAGAGTTGGAGTTATGAAGTGGAATATAAACAGGAGAAATTGGAAATTAATGTGAATAACTTCTTGATGGTTGAAACTGGGCCATGAGATACCAAGTTCAACTGGTCAAGAATGCAACTCTCTGAATGAGAGACTGCTGGCATACAGTGAATAAATCCTGCCATGGGTTGGTGATTCCCTCTCCTTCCTCATTCAGATTCCAAAAGTTGCCTTCTCATATTGCTGTTCTTCTTCAGCTCACGTACTCCTTTGTGCCTTCAAAGTACTGTCAGCTCTGATCATAGCAAGAAACAGCAAGTGGTACTTACATGCTGAAAGAGACAACTGGGTCCTTCATGGGCTGTTGTAATGGAGGTGTTGCTGGTGCTAGTAGAAAATAGGACTGAGCTTGAAAATGGCATGAGGGTTGTGGGGAGGTTGTAAGGACTGGGAGAGGGTTGTATGGGATTGAGATGGCTGCTTCTTCACCTACGTTCCTCAGTCTTCACACAACATGATGTCAAGGGAGGGAAAGCCAGCTCTTCAGCCACTGAGTGGCTATGTTCTGGTACTGGCCACTGCAGGACAGACGGAAGAGTTCTTCTCAGGTGGGGTTAGCTGACAGGGCAAGGCCAAGGTGGCAATGAGTTGTCACTTTCTTCCTCAGTTCCTTTTGAGCAACTCAGTGATAGCAACAGACCTCAAATCAAGATTCCTAGGTCAGCTGGGATCTCCTATTGCTTTGTCCTAAATGAATACTCATCTGGCTGAGAAAATGCCATGATCCAGCCCCTCTCGCATCTGCTTTTGGACAATTACAGCAAAGAAAACCAGGTATTTGCTAGAAATATAGCCAGTAGTGCTCACTTTTCCAAGAGGTGGTTTGCTGAATTGATTGTGGAGAGTGGAGGCCTCTAAGACTTACCAGGGTATTGTTTACCTCTGACTGATGCAGAAAACTGATACACTTTAAATGACTGACCTTAAAAATACAGTGTTGAGAGGGACGGTTCAAAGTGAAAGGAGCTTCATTCTCACCTACCTTCAGAAAGGCTGGGGTGTGAAGGCAGGTGTCATGAGGAAGCTGCATTAACACCACAGTGCTAGCACCCTCAGTACATACCCCCAGATCCTATGGGTCTTTCAGAAAAAACAAGTTTCTCTGTGAGGCTGTGGATCATAGTAATGACTGACAACAACCGTGTTAAGTATCTTGCCAAAACACTTCACCAGGGGGAGCAGAAAGCTCAAATATGGTATTCTTCAGTGTATTTAATATAGATGTCTCATGCAGAGTCAGCTGCAATACAGTACACGTCTGATATTCCCATTCTCACAATAATTTCTTTTCTCTTCTCCTTGGCTGTTCTAAAGCCAGAAGTAAACCTCTGCTGATTGAAATCCTGCTCATGCCTTAGCTGTGGTATTGGTTAGGGTTTTGTATTGAGAGGTACCAGCAGACCTTTCACATTCTTGCTATGTTTTGTACAAGTAACTAGCTCCAAGTAGGCCATTCCCACCTCCATTCCCAGGAGGAATCAGCACAGCATCGCTCAGAAACTGCAGGTTTTCATAAAATCATAGAATGGTTTGTGTTCAAATGGACCTCAAAGACCATCTGGTTCCAACCCCTTGGGGGCTTTTAGCAAGAATGCTAGATTGTGCCTGTATTCAGGGTGCCTCCGTGCAGATATCTGCACTACAGCCAGAAGTGAACTGAACTCATTTTGCAGGCTGCTGTGCAGAATATATTTGATGTGTCTAGATCATTTTGGCATTAGTAAGAAAGAATTGATCAATTCTGTTTTAGCTTTTCCAATTTTAATATGCAACACAAAAATGTGCAAAAATACTTTTAAAAGAAAACTACCTAAAACTGTATTATTTACAGAGTGTTCTTGTATGCCTCTGTACACAGATTAATTGCACCTCAGTAAGTATGCCTTGGTATATGCCTCCCCTTCCAAACCAAAAAGGAAGCTTCCTGAAAAATATTTTATCACTGTGCAATTCCAGCACAGTGATAAAACCAGGAAATTCTTTGATAAGTTCTCCCCATACAGTTGTCAAGAACTTTGACATTTTTTCACCATATATGCTGCTATATGCTCTGCTTCCTTGGGGAATATACAATCTTCAGTTCAGTTCATGTTTGTCCCCCTGACCAGAAAGGAAGATGCTTTCAAACTACACACTGATGAATGGTTAGGGTGCTGTGCCAGGTGGTTATTTTATCAGCCACTGACTTCTGTGCCTGTTCTGCCTACTTTGCATGGCTAACAGAGGCACCTTGTTTCTTAAATAGGGGTAGTTTAAATAGGAGTTTATTTTACTTGAAATCATAATGTCTGTAAACCTAACTGATGAGGGAATATAGTGTTCAGTTCATCAGTGACTGTGTATAAGATAATTTTACTTGAGTAGAACTTACAGGAATAAAAGCTTTATATAGTTCACTTTTCTGTAGAGTTTTATAAAAAGTAGACTCTTCCTGCAGAGAGGGATCACTAATGCCAAATCTGGAGTCTGTTCAATAGCAGGAGTGTGACATGTAAGGATTACAGCCCTTTTAAATTTAAACACACCTTTAGCATGCAAGCAAACCTCTGACAAACAGATGATAACCTCTAATACTTGCTCACCATCACAACAACATCTCATAAACTGAATTTATTGTGCTTCCTTCACCAAACTGCACTATCAATTTATTCATTAGCTCGCTCCCACCATTCCAAGTGCTTGAATAGCTATACCAATGAAAAGCCCCATGATCACCTCTAATCTAAACAAAACTGAATCAATTTTCATTCCCTTGCCATCGTGTGTGGATGTTTCTCACAAGACTCCTTTCCCCCAGCTTTTATTAAATCTTCAGAAAGAATCAGGTTGAAGCTGTTACCCAGACCTGCAGATCTAAAATGAAAAGCATTAATGCTTTGTATTGCTTCCCTCCTTGCCTTCCAGAAAGGAATAAAACACCTGCATCTTGTCACAAAAAGAAATGATGGGTTTTTTTTAAGTAACTATGATGACAATTTCAGCTGATTTTAAACAGCAGCTACCTTTGAGACATACAACTTCACTTGCTATCAGACATTGTGTGGGTGAAGTCATGACATTTGAGACCATTTCCCTTTTCACAGAACACCACAAAATAATTCATGAATAATGCATTAATTCAAGCCAGTAAAATCTTTATGCCATGCCAGTCTCTTATTTGCAGGCAATAAAATTAGAGCATAATGTGCAATAAACTATAACCAGAGAAGTCCCACTGTCACACAGACATAATCACTGACATAATGTGGGAGAGCACTGAGCACAGGGTGGGTGCAGTCTCAGAAGATTCACAAGCACCTCTGCAGCAGAAGGGTCTGATGGCACAATGCAGCAAGCAGTTACACCACACAGCATATGGGACAAAACAGAAATTGGCTATCTGCAAGCAGAGTCTCACAAACTGGCGGATGCAGTGATAATGTAATTATCATCACTACTTTCTCTTTTTCAGACAAACTGGTGTTTCAGGGAATTTAGACTGAAATCTAAACTGAACTGTGAAACACTTACGGTGCAATACAGCCACAAAACAATGAATGATACAGTTTCTGCATTTTGGCTTTTAAATAAATGGAGTGCAAGAGATCAAATTTTGTGCCAGCCACCCTTCAATTACATTTACTTTGTCTAGTAGTTGCCACAAGTCAGACACCTTTCCCTAAATGTATTTGGCATGCAACTTTATTTGTAGTCTATTATAACTACTGTTCAAATTCATCATCAAAACATCACTGTTCTTATAAAAGGGCATGTCATGACATTCAGCTTTCCCTGACTGTGCATCAAGACCTGGTCTACTGCCTCAGGGCTGGCCTTAATTAGCATTCAGGGAAAATTTATCCCTTTGTGTGGAGCTTTCAAATCAGATTAGAAAAGTCATCCAGTGGCAAGACATGACCAAGCACATCCCAGCTGGTAATTGGTTCAACTCTCTCAATCACTGGTGAGATACAGGGCTCTGCACACACTTCATTTCTTAGCTAGCTATCCCTGTAGACTTTAGGTAGATAATTTGAAACTATTAGTAAATTATTTTGAAATTTTCTACAGAAAATTCTGCAGCCATGAGTGCCATTAGTACCTTGACAGATTCTGAAGTGTGAGGAAATGGTCATTTATCTTACTTGTGACCTTCACTTTATTATCTTGTAGAAATTACTAAAATGTCTTTCCTACAAAGGAACTGTGACTGAATGCTGCTATTGCAACACTACAAATGTGTTCCATTCCCCTCCAGGCATAAGCAAAACTAAATAACCCTGCTTGTTCCATAGCCCCAGCTGTAGATAGTTTAGCAGCAACCTTATCTAACAGCAAGCAAGGAGAATTACATTATCAAACCATGCTAGAGATGGAGTCAAGAGGTTAAACCTTACACTGTCTTTCACCTTTTACGTGACCTTTGTGGGAGAAACAAAACCAATTTTGCGGTATTGCTTACTCTAACAGGGTTTGTCTGAGTAGAGGAACAGAAGTGAGAACAGGACTGATGTATGTAGTTTAATTCTCAGACTTTGGAAGAAACCAAACTATTTGAATGCAAAAGTATCCTGATAAAAGCTGGTAGCACATACAAACTTGTATGTAACAGCCTATTACAACAGGCTGTGGATTTTAAAGCCTGGAGAAAAAAAACAGACCAAAAACATCTAAACCCAGGACTTTGCATTTCACAGTAATTTCTTCTCCAAACCCAAGAACTGGGACTTGGTAATCAATATACTGAATTTTTAAATGAAGACTGACTGTAAGACACTTGCAACATTATAGATTTTCCTCTATTATAAATGTTATATCCTAATACAAAGTTTACGGTTTGCTTGTCCATTACAGGCAAGACCACCAAGCATTTGAAGACTTTACTGTGGTTCTATTACATGCTTTGCAAAAGCAGACACTTAACATACAATCACATCCTAATCTGCCATCCCTTGCAGCAAGCTTCTTCTACCTAGAACTACAGTTATTACAAATGCAGGAGGAATGATTTACCTTAGTCCTACTGCTGCTGTGTGAGCCATTACGTGAGAACTGCTTCCAGACTTACTCGTTTCAGCTCTGTGGTGAGCAGCTTTAACAATGGCACAATGCTCTGGGGCTTCCCACCTGCCTAACAATAGGTCAAATAATATGCTGTTAAGGAACAGTTGAAATGTGCCTTAGTACAACTGACTAAAATTGTAGCATGGAGCAAATTTTTATTTTTAAACTGATGGATACAGTCTTTCATCAGTAAATAAAGCACTTTAGCAGAATCAATCTAGCAGGTAGATAACCAGCAATTATTTACCTGCATCTGAAATTAAGCCATACCACAGCAAAGGTTCTGACTTGCCCAAATAATCTTTCTGAATAGGTAACAAGAATACAGCTTAGCTCTGCATTCTTGGTTGTCATTTAACAAATTCCACCCATGAAATTCTCTGCTATAAAAAGTAGCAGCTACAGTGCAAGTGAACGTGCAAGAAGCAAATCTGGGTAGCCTTACACTAACTCATGAACGATCAACTCAGGTGCCCAACATAAAGGGATAACATCAGTGGCTGACCTGCTGAATAGTTCAGTTTATGTGGTCTGGAACTGCAGCACTCCACCTGATAGCCTGTATGAGACTTACCAGCTGGGGGTGAGGGTATGTGTTTGTCTGAGGTAGGCTGCTTTGCATGAGATTAACAAAGTGCCCACTTTAGCACTCCACAGAACAGCGTAAGTTAACAGTGCTATGCTGCCTGCCTGAACGTCTACTCACAAAGGAGGAATTTAGTATCTTTTTGCCTCTCAAATGTAAGTGCACTTAAATCTGTTCCTGTAAAGCAGAATAAAACATGGTTTCCCAGCAGAAAAACAGTACTTGGAAATAGCAACAGTTTTAGAATTACATATTCATACCAAAAAAGGCTTAATTGTAGGAAGTAATTTTATTTACAGGCATAGTTACTTTACAGTTTTCCAAAGCAGACATAATTCTTCTCAGAATAAAGTATCAAACCAGTGACAGACTTAGCACTGTCTAAATACAGTTTATTCCAAAAAGAAATCTACAGCAATTAGACTAAATCATACCAATCACATAATAAAATGCTGTCCCTTGCAACTACAACAGTATAAAAAGACTTTTTAATCAGTCATTATCTAGTAGATTAAGCATCTGCTATACTTCTTTCTTCTTGAGTATTAGTGGACCTACATTATCTCCTGTTAATTCATTGTGCTTGTTGTGGGAGCCATCACAGACAGGAAACTGGAAGAAAACATACATGAGGAATTAGCATAACTACAAAAATTGCATGGGGATTTTTATACTTCTTCCTATGCCAAGAGCACTTTGACGATGTCATTAGTTTCTACTACTACATCCTGTTTCAATACCAAATTCCCTATCTCCTAAGACAGAGAACACATTACGCTGCTAACAGGTAACTTAAGTTTGTGAGGTCCTAAAATAGCTGTTCATAGACACAAAGTTAGGGACAAAGCCTTTTTGCATGAAAGGACAGCAAGCAAAGCAGCCATCACAGTCACAAATGGCTTAAGATTTATTGTGGAACTACTAAAAATGCTCTTTATAGATGTAATCATTTGCAACCAGAAGATACTGGTTTAAGGAAAGCTGAAGCAACTGCTGAAGTTTACTTCAGTACTGATTAGTCTGAAGCAAGAATAGTTGAGACAGTTTCTTAGAGCCAGGGCAGATTTGTTTGTTAAAACAAGAAAGCATTCAGTTCAGAGAGGACAAAACCAGGGTGCAGTCAGCACACTGAAAAGAAGTTGAGGCTAGATGAAAAATGTTCATGTATACCTAGTTGATTTGGGGGATATGG